TGTCTCCCATCATTTACAGTCATATCTGCCTTGCCCTTACCTGCCCATGTTTAGAATCTGATCCCTACCTGCTACATCAGAGCTGCTCCAGTTCTTTTTCTGGGAGACTCTGTACCTGGGGAGATAACCAGCTGGATTTGCTCTTTATGAACCTGCAAGGACTCCATCACCATGCACAGAGAAAGATAATTTAATTTATACCTGTTCTGGCATGTGTGTGCCAGTGACAGATTCAGGTTCAAGGCTCTGTCCCATACAAGGGAAGTGCAGCAACCCCTGAAAGCCCTTCCTGACCACAAACACCAGAGCAGCTGCAGCATCACATCCCAGTTGTTCTTATCGATGCTAACAACCCAGACTGTCTCCAGAGACTCTTTTCCTGCACATTGTATTTCCCTGGTGCTGAATAATCCACTGCACACTCCCTTCTTCCCACATATCTCCATTTTTTAATCTCTTATGTGATCGTTACACATGATCTATGATAAAAGGTAACTTTTCCATAGCCAGAAATGGTGTCATTCCATAAACAGGCCATTTTGTCATAAGATAGCACAAAAGATGTTCATACTCACTTAGTAAATGCCCTAAGGGGATGCCAAGGCACAGAAGATTGTGCCTGAATGGAAACTTCAATTCTTCTGATTCACTCTGCTATTACTGTGTGCTAAACCCTTTCCAGTGGCTGTTATTGCAAATGGATATGTCTGGGTCAGACCTGGAAGACCCTGCCTAAGGAAAGCTGCTGCTGAGCTGAAGCCCTGGGTGAGAAATGGAGTCAGAACCTCGAAGTCTGTTCAAATAAATCAAGGCTGATTATCAGTGAGTGGTGAAATTGCAGTTTTTACACAATGATATGTACACATTTGGCTGTTTGAGTTTTTTGTAGTTACATTCATTTTCAGTCATCCTGTTAAATGAAAAACAGATGCCACCAACAAGTATTAGAGCTCACAAAGATGGATTTACACATTTCTTTTACTGAGTGTTTTTATCAATAATGCACATGAAAAAGGTCAGGGAAGTTTTATTACATTAGTTTAGCCACCATAAATCAGTACAGAATACAAAGCTCACTAAAATTACCACCTTAGGGCCAACATAGATGAAGTGTTATGTTCTAAGCCTTGGAACAGACTGGGGGATGATGCCCTTCTCAAACATTGGTGAAGTGATCATGAGAGCACTGTGTGACTGTTCCATTCTGCCCATCCAGGAGGAAAGCAAAGGCAGTCCTGGGGAAAGCAGCTCTCCGGGTTGCTGTGTTTTCAGCCAGGGCCAGGACAGGATGCTGTGGCACTGCCTCAGTGCAACTCCTGCTTTTGCCTGACTGCAGTTTCCTGGAGGAAAGTGATCCTCTGGAGGAATCTTCACTCTATTAAGGGATTTAAACTGCTGGGGCCATCCAAAAGAAAGGACACAACCCACGGGTGAGCCTGTGCCACTGCTCCTCCCCAGCACAGTGCATCTCCAGGCAGGCTGGGAGCTGCTGCAGCCCTGCCTGCAAAAGCAGGACCCAGTTCCTGCAATAATAGCTGCTGCTTTTGGGTCTCAGGCAGTGACAGCCCTGGTTCTGTCCCTTGCCAAGGCAGTGCAGCCACAGATGCTTTCCTAATCCGACCACAGCTTGCATCCCTCATCTCAGCCCTGCTTTGCAGTAATCCCATTCAACTGCATAATTACTGCCATACTCAGACAACTGTATAATTTCCTCTTGTGAATTAATAACAGTAATAATAGTAATAATAATAATAACAGTAATAAACTATTGTTGGGATTCCCCCCATTATTAATTGCTTGCTCCTTTGGCCTTCCTATGGAGATGGCCAGCAATAATGCCAAGCAGGAAATTGTTCTTTGATTTGAATATTGTCATATGCCTCCTAGAGCTCCTGTTGAAACCACCAGTTTTTTCCAGAGAGGACATGTTCAGTAACTATCAGATGATGATGACTAACTGCTTTATGAGTTCAAGTCAGTGGTCTAGAAGTGAAAGGATTTATTTTTCTGTTTGCTTTTTTAATCTCAGCATCAATCCTCAGAGCCAGAGTCATCCCATTTTTGTCCTCCCATCAAGCTGTGGTTATACTTATTCATCAAGATGGTTTGAAATTCTTTTCTCTTGTTCTTTGAGGTCAGAGGCTTCTTTGTTCCTTAATATTTTCGTCTCCTCGGTGTATTTTAGGATGATTCTCTAACCCTGTCTTGTTAAACCTAATTGGACAGGACCTTAATCGAGGTGACTACATCAAATGTCAAGTTTTCCTCTTCTCTGACCACTACTGTAGCCTCTTCCAGGAGTCATTATTTTGGAGAAACTTTTTCTTAGGAAGTATAAATGTTTTGAAAAGAAATTAGCTCCAAATGTGACTAGCCACTCACCCATAAGTCATGATTTGCCTATTTTCCCAGGCTTTGTTTCTTGTACCAGTCAAAGGAAAGCTGAAAACAAAATAGATTAAATGTTTTCGCAACGTAGCATCAAAGGCTATAATTTTGCTCATTCAAATAATTTAAACAAGATCAGACAAAGGGAATACTTGGAAGGGACCCATTCTAAACTCACAGGAAACCCAAGTACTTCAGGAACCGATGGTGTCTGTGTGAGATGGGCAGTCAGTGCTGAAGCGATGCCACAGTGTGGTTTTCAGAGAAAATTGTGAGAAATTAATCAGCTTGAATAGATCCAGTCAAAATAAGGGAACATTTTGTACATCAGATTTATGGCTTTGGTTAGAAGAAGTGAGATTCATTGAGTACAACATATCTTTTGAAAGCACTTTTGAGTGGGGATGTGGTGCTTTCCAATCACTGAATGTTGTTCATGTATGGGTTTTTTTTCCACTGCCTCCTTTTTTGACTGAAATGCAAAGCTGTTTTCTTGATCCCATGATACTTTTCAAAGTATTAAGTACACAGCTGAAGAAATATGCATCGTGAACTAATTAGACAGTGAAAACAAGACTGTTTTCCTTCTTGTGAATTGTCTCAGCAAACACAGAACCTCACAAATCCTAACACTTTGCTCACTTACTGTGCCAGCAAGGAAATACGAGAATCTTTGGGTTTAAAATAAGGCTGGAGCTGAGGACTTCACCGAACCTTTCTAATGATGTTCAAAGCCCACAGTGACCCTCTGCCCACCTCCTGTGCTGGGGACAGCACCAAAGACAGCTGCTCAAGCCCAGCAGGACTCCAGAGGCCACAGGGCTGTGTTTCATTAGTGTGAGAGCAAGTCAGAGAGACAACTGCAAGCTCTTTCTTGTGTCCAACAGGCTCATCAAATCAAATATGTTACATCCGTTGCACTGGTGTCCTGGTGAGCTATTACGTCACCCAGCAGGAAAAAATATTCACATTTGGATCATCCAGACGCAAACCCAGGAGCTTATTAGTGAAACTGTGTTTGGAGACATTGAATCACACTCAATTATGTGTTCTAACAATTGCCCAATTGCATGTCATACAACTTCAGCCCTGAGTTTCTCTTCTTAAATAATTCCTTTACACTGCTCCTGAAAACATTGATTGCTCTGTAAAGGTTAAAGAAATGCCTAATTGCATTTCAGTAATGTATTTTTCTCCAAAATAGTTTTTAAAACCACTCACGGATAAACCCATTGCCATTTAAACTGTGTATGAAACATGAGTTTTTATTCAGGGTGAAATCCTGGCCCCAGTGAAATCAATGGGAGTTTTGCCATTGACTTCAGTGGGGCCAAGATTTCTCCCTTGATGCACATGATATATTTTTCCTGACATTTAGAATGATGAAACAGCCCTGGTTCTGATTAGCCCAGGGTATAAATAGTATCACTCAACTAGAGCAAAATTCAAATCAAACCTCAGGCATCTTTGCTGATGCTGCTTAGTTTTGCAGGGCTGTGTGCTCATGGAGAGACCCAAATGGCCATTTGGAGTCAAGGATTTCATCTGAACCCCCTTTTCTGGGTTTACACTTCAGTGCACATCAGTACATGGGGAGCAAAGGGTTAGTAAGCATGGAGGCACCCAGTCATATGCCTTGTGACATACATTTTTCGAGCGTGAATTCTTCATTAAAAGAACCCTTGATGTCTCACAGCTTGTTACCAAATTGGGCCTTGACTCTTAATATAATTTAGATGAGTCTAAAATACGCCTCTAAGAAAAGCTGCCTCCACACTTATAAAAATTGTATACCATAATATTAGGGAGAAATCTGCAGTTTGTTTTGACAAGTTTCATTTTTTTAGCATCTTATGAGTATATTTTAACCTGCTGCTTTATGTTTGAATCAGCAGTACTGAAGGAGGAAAGCAAAGTAGTTGGATTTCTGAGACTATTCAATAAATTGCTTGCACATTGCACAGCAGAAAAAATGTATTTCTATCCTTTCCCTAAAATTTAGGTCCCTTTTTTAGACAGAAGGAGTCATTGGAAAGCAGAACTAATGGAGACATGATGGCAGAGATGAATTGATGCTGAATGTGGAGGGAATCATTGCAATCATGTCATTTACTTTGCAGTTACTCCATAGCTTCCAGGGCCTGGTTGTGGAGCTTCCCTGGACATCCCCAGAGCATCTTCCAGACAGCTCCAGCACGGGTGGGAGCTCACCAGTGGAGGAGGCTCTCTCCAGAAGTGGGGAGGCAGTGGCACAGCCCTTCTGCTCCTCCTGCCCCTCCCCGACCCTTCTGATCTCCACCACTCCCTTATCTGCCTCTGCAGCACACGTGGGGCTGTGATATTCCATGAGACACGATAGAGAGTAAGGACCTGTTATTGGCCTGCTATTCAGGCAAAACTCCCACTGGCATCTCTGAGCCCTTAAATAGTACAGCATGTTGCAAGTGGAATTGTTTATTGTGTTCAGTCAGAGCCGGCTACAGCCAGCTCTCACTACTGACTCAACTACACGAAATCTCACCCTCCTGTCATCCCACACTGCTGCACTCACTGGGCCCAGCTCTGTTTCCACTTAAATGTTGGGGGGAAAATGGAGTTAGGATTGCTCCACCATCTTCTTCTTCTTCTTCTGAATTCTTTTCACTCTGGAAAAACTACGAGAGGGTCTGAAAGATGAAAACAGCAGGTCAGGCACTGTGTTGGTGCAAAAGGCAGAGTGATTTACACAGCCCTGGCAGCCAGGGGTGACCTGAGGCCAGGTTTTTTTGCTTTACCTGTAGCTCACCCCTCTGAAGATCAGCAGATCAAAACCATGGAGTGGCTCAAGGTGAATATCAACAGCAGGATTTGATCCCTAGTGGGTCCAACAGATAAACTGTTCCTACTCTCCTGTTTTGTGCTCCAGTAGCATCCAAGCTCCTTCCTGTAGATTTATCCCCAACCATCAAACAGTGGCTGGGCTTAGGACTTGCAGGTATTTTTGGAATTTACTTGGCTCTATAAAGCACCCTTGCAGCCTTATTCACTCACACCACTGGGGAATGCTGCATGCAGCAGGTTGTTTTGTCATTTTAGCAGTGTTAAAATTCATCTGGTATCTCTTCCTTGCTAAGTGCAGGTAGAGACACACTCTTGAGTAAATAGGATATGCTCCACTTGTGAAGTGTAGAAGCAGGTCAATAGACAACTTTCAAAAGGAACCATTTAGGATAATTAAGCAGCACATACACACCAGCAAGAGTTTATTTTGTATTGGAAGGCATGTGGTTAGGGAAACAATAGCAGTTTTTTCCCTGGAGAATGTTAATTAAATTGAACACCCTGGAAAACTGAACTATTCTTACCACAAATCTATAAATCAAACTGTTCTGTTTGCTTAATATAATGCTTTGCTATTCTAGTCACACTGAAGTGGGCCAGCCACACAATGCCAAGATATTTCCATGATGAGCACATTAGAAACACTGATTGACTATAGATCTTATGGATGTGAGGCCAAACCCGTATCTCATTTACTCCAGAGTAACCAAGATCAAAATCTGGCCCACACTGTTCAGATTAGTACATAAATAACATGAAAGGTTTGTAGCAGATGCATTATGTACTTGTTATTTGTGCTCTAGAAGTCCCTGGCAACTCCAGTAAGGCACCAGGACTCTGCTGGGTTAGGTGCTGTGCAAATACAGAGCAAAAGGATTTGTCTTTCAGCTTTGCCAAAGTAGCTTGAAAATACCTGTGAGTATTCACCTCCCCAGGTTACCTTAGCAGAGTGAGGGAGCAGCACTCTCTGCTAGAGGTACAGGAGGACAGGCACCAGCAGCATGGTCTGCTTGGTCCTGTCTTCTCACAGGCTAAAGGGGCTCTTTTTGCTAAGATTTATTCTGACTCTGAAGCTGAGATTCACAAATTTTTTACCCAGGGGTCAGCTGAATTTTCATCTGGAATAAACCAAATTTCTCAGCCAGGCTGAGGCTGCCTGCAGGGGGTTTGGCCAGCTCAGCAGCAGCCTCTGAGAGCATCGCCCACAGCAGGGCTCCAGTGCCACGGTGACTTCAGCTGCCACTCAGGTCTGCATCACGAGAACACATCAAAATACCCTGCACACGTGCTGTAAACCTGGTGAAGCATTTTCGTGGTTTCTTGAGTAGGCTGTGAGTCAGGTTCCCATGGAAAACCCTTGCGTGCAGTTGTTTCCCTTCGCAGGCAGTTGTTACTCATTGGAAGAAAGGTCATTTTACCTCCAACCTGCCAGCTTGTTATCTATGTCTCACTTAGATGCTAAATAGAATTTTAGGCAAGGAAAAGATCCAAAATTTCAGGCTCTGAAGGGAATTTTACATGCACTGAGGAAAGTAGTTTAATATCTGGCTGTGTGTTCTGCAAAGGCAGTGACTGAGCGTGTGTCCCTGAGACAGGGCCAGATTTTAGGAGCGGCCATGTACAGAGGAATGGAGGAGCCACACCAACCTTCATGTGGGAAATCACTGGCTTCACCAATCAGCAGTGAATCACTATCTCTGGAAGAGGTGCTCCTTTAATGGAAGTGCTCCAAGAAATGCATAATTGGTCCTTGTGCTATACAGAAGATTTTCTGGGCCTTGTTTGCATCACAGAACTTGTATCGGTCAGCAGAGAAAAGATAGAGAGAGCTGGGCTTGAGCAGCCATAGGAATATAGAACACAAAAGCCATGTTTGTCCCCTGAGCATCTCAAACTCACCAGTGACACGTCTGCTGTGCCTTCTGCTGAAGGGGCTTTCACTGTATGGTCACCTGCACAGCATCCCAGCACTGAAAATAAAAGATTCTGACACCAGTCATGACAAAAAGCAGCCTCATTTATCACAATCTGCAAGTCCTGTTCAATGGAAAATCAAAACAGGTGGCTTTTGCCACCAATCACAGGATGGCAGCTGAAAGATTTGCACAAATTTCTGCATTCTTTTCCAAGCAGTCCTCACTCACCCTCTTTCAACCTCATCCCTGGGCCAGAAGTGGAAAAGTTTCCAGTGTTTGACCTGATGGCTCCATTCAGAACAGCAATCTTATCTTGAATTAATAAGTCTGGGTGACAGTGGATAGGGAAAAGACAGATATTTTGTGTCCCCCTAGAAAACTGACGGTATGGAACAGGGGCTATTAATATCTGCACAGCTCTTTCACTATTTACTGGCCTTCATTTGTGAGATAAAATGTAAAGCCTTTATTTTAGAGCATGTAGAGTTACTGATTTTTAATATATAGCCCAAATATGCTACATATACCCACTGGAATGGTTTAGCTGCTACTGGATTGCAGTTATCACTTGTAAAAAAAAGACAATTCTTCAGCAGTAAAATAGTGTCATGAGATGTATACAGCTGAAACTTTCCAAACCATGTAATTTAGCCTTTCAGAGGGAGTTATTTTTGATTCTGTCATGTATGAATGTTTTGGGCTCTCTCACAAGAATTGCAGAAATATGTTATACTAACAGAGAGGTCTGGTATAAATCACACTTGTTCAGCCAGACATCAGTCACATTACAGGAAAAAATGAATGCTTCTTTCGTTCTCGTGTCTGACCCCTCCAACACAGTATTGTCCCTGCTAATGAGCTGAACATTTTTGCTGATTTGTTACATACAGCAAATATAGAAGCAATGAAACCCATCTGTGTAATTTATTCATTGATTTGGACTTGAATCCAAGTGTGTTCTAAGTAGTTCTTGTCTGTGTGCATGTGTGTGAGAATAGCTCATCAAAAACAAAAAATCTTAAACTTACCTGCTTGAAATATTTATGAATAATGGAAAATACCCTGGATCCCCTCCTGTGCAATCCAGCAGCCATTTCAGAAATGGTTTAGTGTTAAGTAAGGGCTGCTGGTTTCAGCCCTATATTTGCAGTAAGATCAAAGACCATTTTTAGGGAGGTCTCCTGACAATCCTTTCCATTTTAAAAATAAAAAAATAAAAATATCAGGGAAGGATGGAAGGCTGAAATAAAATAAAGCACACTCAAACACACTTTATATCTCCTCCTTAATGCTGAAAATATACATCATGATTGTAGTTTTGTGCATCTCCTATGATTTCAACTTTCTGTAAAGCAGTTTTAATTTGGGGGAGTGTCACTGTTTCTACCCTGAGCTCTTCAAAACACGGCTGCTTCCAAGTCACCTGTTAAAAATCTGTTTTCTTCAAGCTACCCAAGGGCCTATCTCTTTTATTTCAGAGACAAAGTAATGTTGTGAAGGAATTGGTTTTAAACAGTTGGTTTGACCTTGTTTAAGTTTCTATTTCACATCTCCAGCCACTGTGGATATTTGGTTCGGGATGCAGGGCTTGTATAAAGCCTCCCACACAAACATTCCCACCTGCACAAGCAGCTCTTTCTGTGCTCTGGTATGAATGACAGAGGGAGGTTTATTGAGCAAAGCTTCTGGAGGGGTGAAGGTTTGCACGTCCATCCCAAACTTTCCGATCACACAGCTGCCTTCTGCATGGGACATGCAAAGGCAGAGGTGCTGAATGGTGCTCCTGCTCTGCAGACACCCTCTGGTTCATAATTCCAACAGGCTGATGCCAAAACTCACAGGATCCAAATGAAGAAAGGGAAGGAAAAAAACAAATTTAACAAAGAAAGGAGAACAGATTAAACCACGGAGGATATATTACACACAGCAAATGGAGGAACAGTCTGATTAAACACAGACAGGGTTCACTCAGAACCCTTCCTTCTTTACAAGTGGAACACTAACAAGGTGTCCACGTCTGAGGTAAGTCAGATTTTTCTCCATTCTGCAGATTTTTTGGTTTATTATTTTCTTCCCTGACTGAGTGCTGGTGGCAACAGATTAACAGATCACCGGACCGGCTCTGAGAACTGCTGCAAATTACCTCGTCTCTGCTTGTTGCTCTACAGTCTAATGGCATCATTTAACATGCGCCTCTCTGCCCGCCGCCCAGCTGGTGACACCCACTAAACAGCGTGGTTGACACAAGCCTGCCTGGGTACCTCGAGGGGGAAGTGGGGCTCATCATTTCAGGGCTAAATGTCCCTTCTTTTATCATCTTCCCCATCCAGGCAGGGTGAGCCGGAGCCTGCCAAGAGGCGCGGAGCGCGGAGGTGTCGGGTCCTGCTCCCGTCCGTCCTGCCCGGCCCCTCCGCTCCGAGCCCCAGCCCAGCTCTTCCCCCTCAGACAGCAACGAGGCGAGAATCAACATCTGAATCAACACAGTAACATTTACTTACAGAACTGACAGCCCTTCCACTCGAACTGGTTTAAATTAGCCGACGCCACATTCTTTTCCTTCTGTGTGTTTTGTTTTCTGTCTTTTTTTTTTCCTTTCCCCCCTTTCAATAGGGATATAAAACTGCGCTGTTTCACCCAGCTGAATGCGAAACAGTCCAGCGGAGGAGAGGGAAAGCGGCGGGCACGGCTGGAGCGGTGAGCGAGGGAGACGAGATGCGCAGCCGGGAGATGCGCGCCCGCGGGAGGCTGCGGAGGGCTCCGCGGGTGCGGGTCCCGCCCGGGCTGGGCAGTGTTTCTCAGCCCTGGCTTCCTCACGGGAACTTACCTTCCGGACATGTGCAGATGGAAAAGTGGAGACATTAAAATCAAATTACAGCTATGTATAAAGACAGAGCCCTTCGCTGGCAGCAGGAATGATTAAACGAAGCAGCTCGGGAAACCTTCTGTATTAATATTTCATGTGAAATGATGCGATCCCCCCCAAGGTACAAGGGCTCTCCTTAATTAAACTGGTGTAAACGTTGCCTTTTACTCCTTTTTTATTTAAGTTATAGGGAGGAGTGAGCAGGTTGACCGACTTTTACCCTTAGACCCGAAAAAAGAAGGAGCAGCCCCTTTCCACGGGAGGGGCAGCGGGCCGGGGCTGCAGCTCCCGCTGCGCTGGGCACAGCCGCGGGGTCGGGTGCGGGGACAGGGACCCTGGGGCGACACGAGAGTCGCTGCCTGGGACGGGCGAAGCTTGAGCGATGGTAGAGGAGGGCAGGGACAAGCTCTGGGCCCGTAATTGCCGGCTGGCATCTCCATCCTTTCCCTCCCGAACAAGGAGGGGACGAGAGAGGGTTGTTGGCCGGTGTCAGTCCCCGTTTGCTGCCGCCCAGTTCAAAGCCACCCCTCGCCTATCCCTGACCCTCCTGTCAGGGTGGAAAAGGAGCCAGAGTGGCTCTTCCCGGCAGCCACTCCAAGAGGAGCTCCTGCCCACCGACGGACGAGGCGGGGGAAGGGGGATTCGGGTCCCGGCAGCGGCAGCGCGGCCGGGGGGTCCCCGCCGGTCCCTGCCGGGGCACCGGGGCTGAGCCTCCGGGAACTCTGATGTGCAGCTGCAGCGGTTTCCATGGCGATGCGCGGGGAGGCAGCGGGAAGGTGGTCCCCGCCACGCAGGACACGGCTGCCCACGCCGGGCAGCCCCGGCTCTCCTTTCCTGCCTCTCCAAGGCCAGGGTCGGGCGCTCGGGTAGGAGAAGTGCCCACTGGGGAGAGGGGAAAGGCCGCGCAGAGGGGCCGCCCTGCCCGGCGATGTCCTCGGGCGCTGCTCCGCGGGCACCGCTCCCCGTCCGCCGGGACCCTCCGCTTTGCCGAGCCGGGATTTTGATTTGCCAGGGAAAACCTACAGAAAACACCGACCCCAGCCTCTCAGGACTTCGCCACAATGGTGGGAAGAAAGCGGATTTCCGACAGCCCTTCAGTCTCCTAAAGACAAATTGGCGTGAATTTCCAAGTCGGTCCGGCGCTGAACTCACGGCCCTTCTGCCCAGACTCCTGATACTGTCCCTGCCACGGTTCCACTCAATCCCACACTGGGACCTTGGCTTCTCCTTACACACGACATTTCCTTCCATTTCCTTCCATTTCCTACCATTTCCTTCCATTTCCTTCTTTCCTTCCATTTCCTTCCATTTCCTTCCATTTCCTTCCTTCCTTCCTTCCTTCCTTCCTTCCTTCCTTCCTTCCTTCCTTCCTTCCTTCCTTCCTTCCTTCCTTCCTTCCTTCCCTCCTTCCTTCCTTCCCTCCTTCCTTNCTCCTTCCTTCCTCTCTCTTTTTTTCCCTCTTTTCCCCTATCTCCCACGTGCATTTTTTTTTCATCTTTATTTCTTTTTCTCCCCTTTTCTTTTCTTCTGTTTCCTTGCAGATTTTAGTCTGTGTGGGCTTTCTATTATTTTGCATTCTTATGGAATTTAAATAAAATAATGTTGTTCTTATGAAAATACCTTTTCATGGTTTATTTGAACAGCCTTTACTCTTCCAAATCACGTCTTCCCCTTTCCTCTATTTTCCTTGATTCTGAGCAGATATTTGGCAGCCCACGGAGAATCAGGTAAGGTGTGGGCTACAAAAAGGCAACATGCTACCCGGGACAAGGAGGGTCGCACAGGAGATAACTCTCTGAAAAAGGTTTTTAAATCATATTAGGATCCTAAACTTCCCATCGCAGCAAACCCCTCCTCTCGACACACGTATGCCAAATAAAATAGCCGTGATCGCGTGGATTATAAATGAGATCACAGAAGAGTTTATCTAGGAATATCTCAGTCTCGCAACCCACAAGAATGCACTTTCTTCCCTGCCTCTGATACCCACTTGCTGATCTAAAGATAAAATAACAGCCGTGCTTGTATTCTCCGGCCTTGCGGAGAAAGTCAGGACTTCGCGCTTTCTGTGAACACAGCAAAACCACAAAAAGGTTGTTCAAACACTGACAAAGCTATGAGTGTAACTCCACAAAAACACCGGAATCCAGCAGCTTCTCACGAGTCAGGCTCGGATCAGCTGCTGCTTCCA